AATCTTTACTGTCATTGAAAAAATAAAACATCTAAAAGTATTAACATGATTAAGGCAAGATAAAAAATAGGGGGTCCTACATCAGATCTAAAATGCAACGCATAAAAGAAGGGGAAACCCCTTCAAATTTTTTTCAGAATTTAGAAACTAAACATTTTATAAATAAAATTATTCCAAAATTAGTCAATGAAAAAGGGGACACTATCAATGAGCATGATAACATATTAAAGGGGGCAAACAATTATTACAAAATGTTTTATATCAAAACAGAACGCCTAAATAATGTTTACCTTAATTGTTAAATTCCTGATATTGATATTAAAAAACTAAATTCAGTAATACCATAAAAGAATCTTTTGAGGGTGAAATTACTTATAGTGAATGATCAAAGCGAAAGTGAAAAATGATAAAAAGAGCCCTGAGGCAGATGGTTTTATAAATGAATCTTTCAAGTTTTTCTGGATAGATACAATGTATATGAAAATTTGTATTTTGCTCTATAATTAATGGTTACAAAAAGGAGGAATTGTCTATCACTCAAAAACAAGGTATTATAACATGTATAAAACGGGTGATAAACGAAGACAGTTCATGGAAAACTTACGACCGATAAGCTTACTAAATACCACATATAAATTAGCATAGATCTGAATAGCAGAGCGTATAAAATAAGTTCTACCTCAAGTTATAAACAGTGATCAAACAGTTTTCATTCCTGATAGGTTTATAGGCGAACATACTCGTCTTATAAATGATATTATATTTCATACAGAACTTAATGATTTATCAGAACTGTTCCTTTGCAAAGATTTCGAAAAAGCTTTTGACTCTGTATCATGGAATTTCATTGAAAACGTTCTAGACTTTTTCAATTTTGGCCCCTCTATAAAACACTGGATATGGACCTTTTTCTCTAACATAAGTTTTGCAGTTTCTCAAAATTGTTTTTTTTCTATTTGAATTCTTTGAAATTCAAAGAGGTTGTAAGCAATGGGATCCTTTATCACCTTACACCTTTCTTTTATTTACAGAAATACTTGGAATATTAATTAGAAAAAAAAATAAAGGGAATTAAAATAGATGATATTGAATATTTGATCTCTCAACATACAGATGACAATTCAATTATTATTGACGCACACCAGAATCTCTGAATGCATCTCTCCGCTTATTACATAAATGTATTGAAATTTCTGGTCACCATATGTACGTGGACATGACAAAGGTGATGTTGATAGGTAAGAACAAATATAGTCAAGACACAATGTTAGTAACGTAGGGATTGGAATGGGGTTCCAGTAGGTTGACACTACTAGGTATTTACTTTTTGGTCAACTTGCAAGAAATGGAATTTTTTATTTAATTTCCAAAAATGAAAGAAATTGAAAATAGAATTAAGATTTGGTCTTAACAAACACTAACTCTAGTGAAAAAAATAACAAGACACTTTTTATTTCAAAATAAAATCATCTGTTTTTACCATTACAAGCACCATGCCATACTACTCTTAAACAACTTATTAGCACAATATATTCAATTGGTTGGGAAAACAAGCCTGACAAAATTAAAAGAGAAATATTATGTCTGGATCATAAACTTAGAGGGCTGAAAATGCTAGATTTTGAAGAAAAAAAATATTTTAAAGGGCTTAAACTAGCACGGGTCCGACGGTTGTTTAAAAACAATACAACACTCAAAAACCTTGTGGAAAGCATAGACAGTATTAATATTGAAAACCTGGTATTTTTAGGGACATCAAACAGATGTAAAACCCTTTTAGAAAGAGGATTTAAAGCATGGACAGAAATGCAAAATAAACTTATACCAAAAAATGAAGAAGAATTTGTAACAGCTAACTTTGGAATAATTAAATTTAGAATAGGAAATACATCTATTTTCTATACAGGTTGGGCTGATAAAGATATCTTGTTGATAAATGATCTGCTAGATAATGAGTGTAAATCAATGTCTTTTGTGCAATGCCAAAATATTTCTGAAATTAAATCTAACTTTCTTTATTATAATGGGGTTTTATCAGCAATAAAATCATATGAAAAATCTCTCTAACATAATAAATGTGTTTCTCTCTAGACTGTCTTTTTTCAGTCAATGCATGGGCCAATTCTTCGAAATTATATAAGAACATATTTTTTAATCAAATAAAAGCTCAAAAGATATGTATACTGCGTTATTGGAAAAAAAAGTGAAAGGCTTAACTGTGAAGCTAAGTGGTCTCTAATATTAAATAAAAAAATGGATTTGAAAAGGTGCACAATTTGTCTTTTTACACCATAAAAAGCTCAAAACTTCATTGGTTCCAATATAGAATAATACACAAAACCATAGGCACTAATGAATTTTTATTCAATATTAAGATAAAACAAACAGATAAATGTACTTTCTGTAATGAGGGTATTGAAGATACTGAGCACATATTTTGGACATGCTATAAAATATCAGATTTTTGTATTAAACTCAGAGATTAGATTAATAACCAAACAATTTAAAAAAAAAAGTAATAATTCCATTTTATATGGATATTTTTTTATTTGGAAATTTAGGAAACACAGGAAATAAAAAGATAAGAAACTTAATAATACTCCTGAAAAAATTCTATATATAGAACACTACTCTGTGAAAATCAGGTAAATTTTACAGGACTAAAAAAATACCTCAAAGAATCTCTAACGTTAGAAAAAAAAATGTTTTTTTTTTTTTAAAGTAAATCATTTCACATGGCCAACATCTGTAAGATTAAAATAAAAAATTGGATTGGAAAAAAGTGTACAATGTTTTGTTTTACACCATAAAAAGCACAAAACTTAATTGGTTCCAATATAGAATAATACACAGAATCATAGGCACAAATGATTTTTTATTCAAAATTAAGATAAATGTACTTTCTGCAATAAGGCTAATGAAGATACTGAGCACATATTTTGGACATATTATAAAATATCAGATTTATGTATTAAACTCAGAGATTGGATTAATAACCAAACAATTAAAAAAAAAGGGAATAATTCTTATCCACATCACCATCTATGTAATGATTTAATATTGTTGTATGATGGTTTATGTGTATGTTTGTTGCTTTGTCTATGTTTATACCTGCATTTATGTTATGCTCCTCATATTTGCTTGACCAAACATAATCCTAAAAAAAAAAAAAAAACCCGTGTGAGCTGTAATGAATGCATCAAGTAAGACATATTTTTTTTGTCTATCTTTTGTTTTGTTGTTGCAAAAATTTTAAATTTCTGTGATTTGTATTTCTTTTTTTTTTTCTCTTCTTTTTCAAATATACGGATCATTCTATATTGATATATGTATCACTCGGTTATATTATAATTTAGAACTGTATATATTTCAGAAATATGTTAACTTATAAATACTAACTAGATTGTTATATATTATATACTTCTTATGGTTAACGAGGCTGGGATAAGGTACCGATATTTTTTTTTGTATCCAACTAACAAATATCAAAATTATCAATAAAATATGATGCATAATTAAAAGAAAAAAAAATTAAATTATGTAAAACGTTTATTGACGTTATACATTCATTTGTGCAATGTATAACTACCAATCTACGATATACGTATGTTTTTGTGATCTACAACATCCACTTTACGTGGTGCCTCGTTGGCCAAGTGGTCTAAGTAGTTCTACTACTGTAATCACTAGCCAGTCAACACTGAGGTAGTGAGTTCGAGTTGCGGGTGCACTCGACTCCAATCTTAATTGACTAGGATTGTCAGTTTTCCTATCGAAGGTCGGTGGTTTTCTCCGGGCACTCCAGCTTCCTCCACCGATAAAAACTGGCCGCCACGAAATAGCCCAAAAGTGGTGCTTAAAAGTGGCGTTACAACACCAACAATCAATCAAATCCACTTTACGTTGGTTCGTATTTAATCCAGAATACCCGTTGTACGTTTGTTTTTTGTTTGTCAACAGCACCCGTTATACATATGTTGTTTTTTGTGTAGAGAGCCTTAATACATTATCATATTTCAGGGTGTTATTTTGTCTTAGTTATGATTAAACATGTATCCCTGTCTGTGTGTGCACAATAGATATTTGACAATTACGCATAGGCATTTGTGTAATTTACAAATGGGCTTGAAGTATATCCTGTTGGAAATCACGAATCACAAATGTTGCAAAACCATCAGCAAATACCACCTCTGTATGATATACAAATTAATAAAAGGAAGGGCTGAAAATGTAAAAAAGGTAACAAAATTTATAAATGGTTACATAATTGAATGTACCAAACGGTAGCAGTTTGCTATTTTTTTAATAATTCAGAAAATAACCAGCCTACCAGTCTTAGCTTTTCAAAATAATAATCTGAACTTTACTGATGGCTTCACCTGTAAAATAAATTGTAAGGGAGCCTTCTTCAAAAGCCATATGTCAGTTCAACACAACACAACAAATGAACCATGAAAGCTTCCAAAGAGAGAAATGTCTTCTCAAATGTACTAATACAAAGTATATCAGTGTTGTTCTTTTTTCTTATTCGTGTTGACCAATACATTCAATCTCAAGTCAGATGCAGTAAATACAAAAGTTTGTTCCCGGAACCAACTCGTGCAGGGGTAAATCTCGCTTTTGCAGGTAAGGAAAAGAGGGTCATCTGACTGTAACAGAATCTCTATATGTGTTAAATACAGTGTGATCACAGGGCTTCTTCTTACAGTTACCCTGTACGAAAGCTTAGAATGAAATATTCAAATTAAAGCAATATAGATAAGTTCTTATCCAGAGACTTGATTTGTCTTAAATTAATAGTAATATACAAACAATCATCATCAATGTGTGAAAAATACCACAATTATTTAATTTCTTACATGGAGAATATATCTGTTTCAAAATTACGTATGCATATGATTTTTACTAAAACATAGTTATTGACTTTAATATTTGATGTTTTCCTTTTTTCAAGGATGGAAATACTGCATTACATGTAGCTGCCAAATATAACGGTGACGAGGCGATGGTAACTCTTTTATTAGACAGAGAATGTGATCCAAACAAGCGAAATAATGAAGTAAGTTCCAGCAAAGGTGTACTTTTGTCATTTCTAAAACATAAATTGCTGTAATTGATTATAAGATATATTAAGTAAAACAGGTAATGTTACTTCCGAGTAAATTAATCGGTGTATTCAGGTATGGTGTTGATATATTTTGTGATCTATAGTCTGTCATTTAAGGCAATAGAACTAACTAACAATAACAGAACAAACCCCAAATGTTGTTCTAACATTTAAGAGAAGATATCAAATTGCACAATTTATTGGTTTAAATAATTAATGCAACATATGACAACTTTTTGTCAGACTGCCTGCTGAAAGAGTTTAGAAATGCGATGACGGGGTATGAAACTTTTATCAGTCACCATGGTTATCAGACAATTGTCAATTTAGAAAAAAAAATGACAACATTGGAAGGACGTGTTTGTGTAAATAAGAATTTGTAGAAGAAAACTTCCTCTGAGGACATTTTTTGAGTGAAATTTTTCTAGAAATATTGATATAAATTTATATCACAATGACTAAACTTCAGTAGCGTTTTTGAAGTGTTTTCCTATCGGTATTTTTTTTTTTTTGGCACATAGATGTCTCTTTTGTTTTTGAATTACGTTTTTTAATTGTGAGTTTTTGTTTTTAATCACCTCCATTAAAACAGTCAATACATTAAAGTAAAAATGGCAAAACAGGATGGGAGCATCAATGTAAAAACAATTGATTATTTGCCCATGTATTAATTATGGTATTAATTTTTTTTAATTGTCCCAATACTATCGAGGTGGTATGATTGCCAATCACAAACGTTTACGTTAAAGAAAAATAACAAGGAGTAGTATATGTCACCGTAGTGCCATCAACGACGAGAAAAAATCATTACAGTAAAGTCAGCTACGAAAGGCACCGACAAGAAAAAATGTAAAACAATTCAAACGAAAAAACCAACGGCTTGGGCTGTGTAGAAAACAATCACAAAAACAAAAACAATGAACATTCAACGACGAAAAAGGTGAAATAACAAGAAAATTGTACTCCAAGGAAAATTCAAACAGAAATTCTCTTATCAAATAGCAAAATCAAAAGCTTCAACGACAAAGGATATAATGTAAAGAGGTCATAAATTGTCAAACACATCACCGTTCGTAATGCAAAAATATAAACAAAGACGGGACGTTGGAACATAAGTGTGCATAAATGTAAAGGAAGACAAATTTAGTTATATTTGTATGTCTTTACAACAAAAGCATGTTACTCCTAAACTACCAAATTAAAAACAAAAATGAGTATACGGTTTAAGATTAAGACGTATTACAAAAACAACATGAAGTCTATATCAAATAATTTTCGTGTTGCTAGCTAATAACAATTTCTAAATATTTTGATTATGTCAAAATGATTGGTCAGAAGAATGCGTCTTTAATCCATAAGATATACTTAACCAATAAAAACACAAAAGAAGAAATATCATCAAATGTTTTTAATCATTAATAAACATTATTTGACAAAACTTACAAATTCTGAATAAACAGGTCTGAAGACATCTTAATCACTCGCTAGTTGTCGCTTTACACGAATGGACACCGATGTGTTTGTCGTCTTCAGTCAACATTATAATTGACCACATCACATATATGAAAAATGTGTGACATAGATTACCTTCGCCGTATTTGGTACAGCTTTTTGGAATTTTGGGTCCTCAACACTCTTGAACTTTGTACTTGTTTGGCTTTATAACTTTTTTGATCTGAGCGTCACTGATAAGTCTTATGTAGACAAAACGCTCGTCTGGCGTATTACATTTTAAACCTGGTACCTTTGATAACCAATTAAGTCTGTGTTATCTTTTTTTTTTTATACAAATACAACTATTTTGTGTGATACAGGGAAAGAAGCCAATCGAGCTAACCTATAACCTGGAAATAAGACAGTTATTTAAGGTAATGTATGAATTATATATACTTGTAATTAGTATTTTCAATTATATTCTTTTTAAATATTGATACAAGTTAATAATGTCTGTTAAAGAATCAATTTAAGTTCTGAAAATATATTTGTTAAGTATATAAACATATAGGAAAATGCAATGCTTTAGACGTAAGACGCACAGATAGACATTATTTTCTTTTGCAGAAATATGAAGCACGCCTCCCTGGTTAGTTTGTTTTACCTATAGTTTTTATTGACTAATTTGTTTTGAATAAGGAACAACTTTTTATTCATTATTTGTATTTGTTTGCACAATGAAAATTTTTTCAAAACTTTTGAGAGTTTTTGTTTCTCTATGCTCTTCAACGTTGTACTTTATTATGTATTTTTTACTTTTTTTTATTCGAGTGTAACTGAAAAATCTGTTGTAGACGAAACGCGCGTCTGGCTCAAATACAAAATTTTAATCCCGGTATCTGTGATGATTTTATTGATATATTAACTTTTTCTCTTAGTTTTTTTCAATGCATAATGATACATTTGTTTCAGGGACATTAAAACAAATTTTGGAATCGAGCGTCAATAATGAGTCTTTTGCAGACGTATTGCGCGTCTGGCGTAATTTTTTTCTATAATCAGTTTATTTACGACCAATCGGTCAATATTTCTGTTGACAGAAGTTCCACCCGGAAAGTATCACCAGCTCAGTAATCAGCACTGTCTGTGGTGTCAGCTAGTGAAAGGATCTCGTCATCTTGTCAAGTAGTAGTTTGATTGTGAAGACCTTGAAGGTCGTCTGCAGAATGTACTTTTTATGTACATTTTTCATAATTATAAACTAAATGCTAATGAATTGTACCCCAGAACAAGACTATCGTCGCTGTATTTTGCAAGACCTTTCCAAATGTAAAGACCTCAATGTTCTCTAACTTCTTACCTTATGTTGCCTCTTTAACTTTTTTTATTCGAGCGAGTGAGTCTTTTAGTCCTTTGTAGACGTAGTACACGTATGGCGCAATAAAGTTTTAGCATGGTATATATGATGAAATCATTCACCAAAAGCGAAGATTGATTTACATAAGTACCGGTTTTTTTTCTGAATTCGGTTCAATAGAACGTTTATAGTTTAGGGAGTATCTATAATGATCGTTAAAATGTGGAGTGTATGAAAAAAACTCAGTTTACACATAAAGGTCTTAAAAAAGGTGAAAACATATAAACAAAAAACATATTCCATCGTTCTCAAGGTTGGAATTGTGTTTAAGATAAGAAAAGGACGAGATCATATTCACAATTAATACAACAGGTAGGTTATATAATGAGGGGTTGAAGGAAATTTTCGGCACGTCGGGATTGGGACTTTATTGTTTGCGGGAAAATAGGATTTACCTTATCGGGACTCGGGAATTGAATATAAATATTTTTAAGATTTTGTGATGACACTCTTTCTACTTACTCCCTTATCCATTTCGAAATGAGGTAGTTTTCAAATGAGGGTATATAGGATAGAGAGACGTTTTGACTTACAACAATCTGCCTCCTGGCCATACATACAATTGGTGCAAGGGTTTTTGATGTGCATGAGATAAGGGCACATTCCTAACACGAGGTATCGGAATTAATGTCCACATTGTGACCGGAACCGACTTTAGTCGATAATTTTGCTTGCCATGAACAACAAGAAGGATTCCAGAAGTAAATCAGGATCTACTCAAACATCAAGTGCTAGTACGTACTGTCATCCCTTGTGAAGTTTGTGTGTATCTGTACGTATTTGGTCTTGGTGTATACTTAAATTAGCACTACGACTTGTACATCCTGCACAGCTAATCGGAAGCCCTAAATGGGCAAGGATTGTAAAGCCGGTCGAAAAAGGCCTTATTAACAATATTTTTAATTTCAAGAACAACAGCTAAAATAGTAAAAGAAGTATACATCAATGAAAGAGCAATAACCAATGTTTATATTAATCAACATTATGTAATTTCGAATCTCGTTTGAAAAATGGTGGACGCGGTTTTAAATTGATAGTATACGTATATGAAATGTATTACAGATGACGAATTGACCTTCAGCTTGAGCATTTTGATTTGTATGTCTTTATGTTTTGCAACATTTCCGGAAATCTGACACGATTGGGAGACTGGACACTTTCAAAGTTGGGTGTTTATTTTATAGTGGACCCGAATGGGCGTTCTTATAAAAAAAAACGATTTGAAGCTCTTTAGCACATAGACATGTTTTGATATGTAGTGACTTTATAGTGACACGTTTCGAATATATATATAACTCAGGAAAAGAAGAGCAAACGTACAAAAAATATAATCAGATACAACGCACTCAATATAATGGTTAACTATATGATAAACGATAAACCGTACTACTACACTACTCTGTAGAATTTGAATATTACAGTGATTATTCGAATTTTCAGGTCTTCCAATTGAAGTTAAGAAATTGGATAAAAAATCAGCGCAAGTTTTTTCCAGTTTATTGGGAGAAGAAAGTTATCTTCATTTTGAGTCAAGAGTAATGTTAGCTGGAGAACAGGGTACAGGGAAGACAACTATTGCCAGACATCTTGTCGGTAAATCTCCAACTAGATTCAGAAAGTCAACTGATGGAATAGAATTATACAACGGCCTTTCCTATTTTGACCGTGAAACGAAGGAATGGCTTGGAGGACAGCAAGGTAAGACCTACATAGCCCAACAGCCATAACTTTGGTGCTGGATAGGCAATACTGACATTGAATTGTTACAAATTACGGTTAAAACAATATTAAAACTACTTGAATTTAAGGAATGCATGCTCCTCATAGAAATATTTGGTTCCATTCCGAGCTTTAGCTATATTGTTTGTCCTTTTTTGGCTTAACCGGCTTTACTTTTTTTTTTATCTATATTTTGAAATATTTCGGCCCCGAGCATAACGAGAGACATTCATTGTCAAAAACCTTATTTAGTAGAGGTACATTTGGTATTGTTAATGGTATTTCTTCTACTTGGTCGATACCACTGCATGTGTACTGTAAGTCACCGAGTATCAACAGCCTAAAAAAGTACTGCAGTACTTGCATTAAATGCTCATTTTGTATTATTAAAATTGTGTGTTACAAAACTTTGGAGCGTTGATGCATTGCACAGCTATGGTCATATGTTGTGCTTTGTTGGTTTTATTAGCCCTTAAATGTTAAATGCAGGTGGGATTTTTGGATTTTCAAAAAATTTATCTCCGAGCTTAAATTGCGACACATGTGTTGTCAAAATGCGCATCTGGTTCAGAAAGTACCACTAATGATATTACAACGACCAAAGCAAGTCTAGTGGACATGTTTGTTTCAGTTATAAATCTTATGCGGGAAAAGTTCTGTCAAGGCAAGTTCTGAAATGTTCTGAAATAAGACGGTGATGTAGTTCAGCACAAAATCTCGATTACTGTGTATTTCAATATTTACATTCTTTATATCATCGGCGTTGCCTACTATGCATCCTTACCTCTAAATGGTAATATAAGTGTAAGAGTAATAGAGGATTTTTGACATAGATTTACATCTTTTTTCATAATTGTGTGATTAACAGTAAAATATTGTCATGTATTTGAAATAATCAGTCTTGGCCACTCAGGTGTGCGTGTTGTCCATATACCTTTTTAAACTGATTCCTTTTAGTGTAAGGTGCAGTTGACGAATATATTGAAAATATTCATTCATAAAATATATCAATGGAAAGTTTTGAAAACTGCATTACACTTCATATAAATTTGAGCAATAGTGATGATTACTTAATTTGCATAGTAATTGTAAAGCTTGGTACTTGCTTTTAATATGCAGTTCGACTTGTTAAAAATGTCTAAATGCATATAAATACTCATTCTCTGTAACCACTTAAACTTTTTCGGCACACATAGTCACCGATCTTTCTGAAAATTGGCTGATATATGTAGATCCTATTAGCCTAGTCAGAAAAAATAATGCCAACCGATATATATATTGGTTGGTTACCATGGTAACAGCGGAGAAAGTTGGGATTTTTGAGAAAGATACAATATTTGGTGTAGTGCTTTAAAATTATGCGGCTACATCTATTAAAAAGAAACATAAAAACAATTAATTTCATACTTGTTTTTATCAAAAATCAAAAAAAGTTATAGGGAATCTACCTAGAAACATGTGAAATTAATTTTTTAATAACTTTTTTTATTTCTCAAAGGATTCATGTCAATTTGAATTGTAATAAATTTAGACCATTTAATACATAAATATAAGAATAAATACTGTAAACTTTTTAAATCTTCATAAAACTTGACCTGACCAACGCTGACAATGACAGGACCAAATGAAAATGCTAATAACATTTTTTATTTCTTAAAAGATTCATGTTAAATTTGAAATAATAATAAAATTTTATCATTCAATATATAAGTATAGGAAAAAAATATCAAAAAAATCCGAAAAAGTTACCTTTCTAACGTTGACAATAACCTGACCAACGACTGCAAAGACCTTACCGATGAAACTTTCTGTGTTATTTTATATTATTAAAAAAAACCAGGAAAAATATATGTTTTTGGGTAAAAAAACTTGACCTGACCAACGTTGACTGTGTCCTGATTGTTGTACTACCTAATACTTATTTATATCTAATAGGATTTGCTTAAACTTTATTAACAAAAACAACATTAAGATTGAATGGTAAAGTCTTTATCAAATAATAAAAAAAAACTGGGGAAAACATTTTAGGGTACTGTGACGAGCACGGGATTATTTAAACTATTTATAGTATTGAGTAGTATATTGTATGTTACTGTGTTGTAAATTATGTTGTATATTACCGGGTTATAATTTGACACGTTTGATCACAAATATAAAGTAACATACATAAGGTGAGAATTGGTCATAAATACATGTACGTTGATAAATCCAATATTGTTTGTTTTTTAATATTTTCTTAACAGTAAATAATTATTTCTACGTCCAACTTAAGGTATGCCCGAGCCCATGTACGTACGATATCTTGGTAGTTTAAAATATTTTCATAAAATATAAGTAAACATAATCGCGGATTTAACTTGAGGCATGCCAGAACCTTGTCTTAGTTTTTATGTTCCCGAAAGTCAATACATTTATCGTTTGCTAATATGTTTGAAAATCATTTTATATTTTCTTATTTGATAAAATTAATGGTTCAATCTAAACATTGAGTCCTGTTCAAAGTAAAATCTAAACTTTTTTTGTTAAAAGATAAAATTAATGGTTGAAACTAAGTGTTTCTATGATTTTGATGCAAAGCCTTTTACATATAAATAGGTTTATAGTCATTTTTCCTGGTTATAATAACTGTCGTCAGATAGTAGGACAGAAAGTCACAAACAAAAAGTCACAGACAAAAGACACGGACAAAAAGTCACATGTATAATATGTTATAAACATTGAGTCCTGTTTCATAGTAAAATCTATTTTTTTTTGTTAAAAGAAAGACAATATGCTAACTTGGAGAAACACCTTTCTGTAAAGGGCTTTCAGTGAAAATCAAATTATATGTACATGTATATAATTCTTTATACATATATAATTATTTTAACGTTACCCTGTGTAAAGTTATCATATTGTCAATATTTTTTAATTTGCTGCTAAAAATCCATAAAGATAATCGTTATTTTCTCAAATTTCAATAATCCAATACCTATTACTAATGTTAAGATAGTGCTACTTTTGTCAGTTCCAAGGGACCCTGAGCCTACCTTATCTTTTCATTAGAAAGATTTTGTTGATTACATATGGAATCACTGAAGCATATATGTAGCGGGCTTTCTCTTGAGGCAGTCAGTGGGACCCCTTATATGAAAATTGTCTAGATGTTTTAACAAAATCTTACCCTCCCCTCCCCCCTCCACCCCCCCCCCCCCCCCCCCCCCCCAAAAAAAAAAAAAGAAACCCAACGATATTGATGTTTTTCATTTGTGAAAAGTATTTATTTCTGTGCCTCACACAAACAATTTTAAGCTTGGCCTTTCTTGAACTGTCAATTCAATTTTCTGATTGTATCTTCTTAATAATATGTATAAATAGTTAGAAGCTAAAAGCTATAATTCCAAACTGTCAACACCAAGTGGCACTTTGATCTTTAATCTTCACTACAGCATTTGAATAATTATAGTTGATGGACTGACTTGTAAAAACCATCGTTCTTTGACACTGCATTAGATTGAAAACTTACAGAAGAGAGTTTTCGTATGAGAGATTTGGTCTATTTTAAAGCGTTTTCCATGTTTATGCATGTAATGTGTTGTTTATATTGCAACACTATCACTAATAATGCCTGGAATATTATTAATATTTCTCAAATACAAGAAAACCTGCATAATGTAATCAACATTGTATACATTCATTGCTATATGTATCGAAGTTTATTAAAACGAATTTGTAAAAATCAGCACTCATCAGTAATTTTGAAAATGGACTGCTTGTTTCCATGGCAACGAATTCAATGGCAAATGTTGCACAATTGAATATACATAATTTTTTAAATGATTTTATTTGTTTTTTCTAGATCGAGTTATTGTTTTTCTGGTTACAGTTTTCATGATCATGAAAACAGACTGAAATTTCTTCATAATCAGCACTTTTATCTAGATTAGAGAAATTGTGTTTGTTTCCTTCAAGTGGTAACACCATTATCGATATACTATACTAGCAATCTTATTTATATACACACATGTGTGTATACAATGAAACGTGATAAGTGTTTTAGTTTTCCTACTTTTGTGCACATTTAAGAAAGTAACTGAAACTTTCTCAAAATTGTTTTAAATTTGTGTATCATCATGAAATTGTTTCCATAGCAACACAGTTTAAACTTTAATACTGTTATATATGAATATGTTTAAAACTTTGATGATTACAATAATTTCTACATATTGTATATTTATTCATTTTTTCTGACCGCAGAATTCCCCATGACTTTTTTGCGTCCTTGATAAGATAAGACTATGGTATTTATGAATTCATGGTTTACTCAGGTGTCCGCCAAAAAATTTGGTGAGCATTTAAAGATGACCTCGAAAGGGTATTTTTAACCTAATGCAAACCACATAAAAAGCGGAGTGTAATCGGTTATTATTGAAAATTGATATGAAAACATCAGTTATTAAATTACATTTAATAAAATGCATATATTTAATAAAATCATAAAAAAATATTCTTTCTCTTATTTTTTTAATATGAAAAATTATGTTGAAAAAAAAGCCTTTTTCAGCTAAAATCATAAATATCCAGAACAGGTAAAACTGGTCATCGGTTGCTATGGCAACCGATATGCATGGTACCCAAAATTTTGCCATTTTTTGTTTGTTTAATCAAGACTAGTAAGTGTGTGAAGTTTGAAGAAAATTGATGACCATGTGTGCCACACTCCCTATGTAAGAGTTAAAATAGTTACAGAGAACCAGTTTTAAAGCTTAAGTTTTGATTTTGATTTTCTGTATTTTAACGCAGATTTTACGCACCGCTTTTGGGCTATTTCGTGGAGGCCAGTTTTTATTGCTGGAGGAAGCCGGAGTGCCCGGAGAAAACCATCAAACATCGATAGGAAAGCTGACAATCCTAGTCAATTAAGATTAGAGTTGAGTGCACCCGCACGAGAGGGGGTTCGAACTCACAACCTCATTGTTGACTGGCCAGTGATTACAGTA